CCCCGGAGGGACCTTGAGCTGCCGGCGGAACGGATCCGACGTTCCCTGGTGAGGCCGCGCGGTGCCGGCGGAGGGTCCCCGGCGCTCCCCAGCGGAACCGGGTGCTCCCGGGGAGCGCCGCGTGCTGCCGTCAGAGGGGATCCGATGCCCCCCCGGTGAGGCTGCGGGCTGCCGGTAGGGACCGCGCGCCGGCGGCGGAGGGGACCCGGAGCTCCCCGGTGAGGCCGCGAGCTCCCAGGGTGGAGCCGGTGCGCCCCGGCGGAATCGCGCACTCCAGGAAGGGCCCGAGCGCTGCCGAGCCGTGCCCCCTCCCCGGAGCTCATCCGCTCTCCGGGTCGCCCTGGGCCGGCTGCTCGGCGCCGTTGCAGGGCGGGGCGGCGCCGTCGGGGCCGGTGCTCTCCAAAGAGGACTCGCTGCCCGTGCTCTCCCCCGAGAGCAGCCGCCGGACGCCGAGGTCGGCGCGCAGCGAGCGCAGGTCGTTGCCCAGGCTGAGCTCGCCCAGGTCGCGCAGCAGCCGGCCCAGCTCCGGGCCCTCCCCGCTGCCGGCGCCGGCACGCAGCAGCTCGCCCTCGGGCTCGCCCAGCGCCTCCAGGATGTCCTCGCATTCGCAGTGCATGGCGCGCTCCTCCTGCTCCTCGCCCAGAAGGTCCTCTGTGATGGAGCCCAGCTTGGGCGCGCTGCGGCTCCGCTCCACCGGTGGCTTGTAGCAGCACTGCCCGTTAAGAAGCTTGCGCAGCGGCACCAGCGGGATGCTCTGCTCGCCCACCAGCTGCTGCTGCTGGTGCCGCGCGTCGTCCCGCTTTTTCAGGCGGCGGAACTCGGCCAGCGCCGTGGCCGAGGTCTGGTAGAGCAGCAGGGCCATGGCTTTCGCCTTCTCGGGCTTGGAGACGAGCACGGCGTGGCAGCGCAGCATCACCGCCTTGTGCTTCAGCTCGTGTCGGTAGATCCAGGCGAAGACGCGCGGCAGGCGCGGGTCGGCCACGCAGTAGGTGACGCGGTGCAGCAGGTAGAGGTGGCCGGGCCGCCGCAGCCCCTTGTCCTCGGCGTGGGCCATGCGGATGCCCTGCGCGCTGATGGTCAGCTTCATCTTGGTGCCCTGGCGACCCGCTTCGCTCTTACTCCAGATCTTGCAAACGGCCAGGTCGGTGCAGCCCTCGCCCTTGGACTGGATGGTGGTGGCGTTGCCCAGGTAGAGCACGGTGTACGTGGGGTCCTCGCTGGTCACGCGGAATTTCCGCCGCTTGGAGCGGAACATGCTGCCCACGCGGTGCAGCGCGCTCTCGGGGCAGGCGCGGGCCAGCGAGGTGAGCGCCGAGTAGTGCACGCTCACCGCGTAGCCCTTAGGCTTGCTCTGCCGCCGCGCCTCGCCCGCGACCAGCTCCACCTTGCTCCGCTTCCAGGGCAGCATCGCCCCGCGAAGCCGCGGCTACGCGCCGCGCCGATGGCTCCTGCCGGGGGAGCGCATGCCACGGCGGCGGCGGCGGCGGCTGCGCTGCCCGCCCGCCTCACATCCTTGCGGGCGTCGGGCCGCAGCGCCGTAGATATAGGCGGGCGCCGGCGCTCCGCGGGCGCGGAGAGGGGAGGCCCCGCGCACCGAGGGCGG